AAAAAAAAAAAAAAAAAAAAAAAAAAAAAGAGATGCTATGTGGGAGTTCTTAGTGTGGAGTGGTATGCAGTAAGTAATCAATGGAAGCGGTTACTGTTTATTGTATTGGAGGTGGGTGGGACCAGGGATCAAACTCAGGACCTTACTCTCGTGAGGCAGGTGCAGCACCACCGAGCTAAATCTCCAGCCCTTGTTGTATTTGATTAGTACAATGTAAAAATCATCTTGAAGGTATGGAAAAGTCTTGGGAGGGTTTGGGAGGGTTTAGAAAAGATAAGAATTGTAGAAAAAAATGGTTTCGTACAGCCAGAAAGAGAAGCAGAATGAGAGAATGAAATCTGGCTTGAATTGAAGAAGAGGCTGCCACTTTGGGCAGGCAGCTCAAGGTGTGCGTTCAGTTGTCAGTGTCGCTGGGTCCTCAGTGAGCCCTGGGCAAGTGACCTCTGCTATGGGCCTCAACTTCAGCAATAAGATTTGCTTATAGCACCAGTATGTCAAAGGACCATCAGAAGAGACAGAGACGCAGTCCTGGTGTAGGGGCAAGCAGTCGGTGGACAGTGGTTGATAATCATAGGCCAGATTTCAAGGTGCTCCATTCCTAGAAGTGTCTCCCTAACTCACATTCAACTTCCGAGGCTGGGAGGAATGATATTCACAAAGATCGAGTCGTATCAGTAGATGCGTTCTTTCAGTAACGTGCTTTATTGGAGCACACAGTGTAAGGTGCAGGCCATTAGGCAGGCAGGGGGAGCTTTTCCGAGCCAACGCTGCGTGCTAACAGTATTTTTTGGAGTCCAGGTCCTTGTGCTCCTTGATGTACGGTGCCTTGGAAAAGCATATGGCAGCTTCGCGGTCACAGTTGCAAATAAAGGCCTCACACTCTTTGTTTTTGCCTAAAGAGGGACAAGAGGAGAAGACTGAACCAAAGTGGACCCTGCTTGGTACAACCCAGGGCTGGAAAGATTCAGTGGAATAGGCTGGTGGACATCCAGTTGGTGCAGATTTAGCGTTGAGAGATTAAGCAAATGAAAATACATCAGGATGCACAGTTATGCTTGACTTTCTGATAAACAATGAATGTTACCTTTGAGACACGTGCACTAAAAAATACTCATTGTTGCTAGGCATGGTGGTGCATACCTGAAATCTCAGCTATTTGGGAGGCTGAAGCAGGAGGATTATAAATTCAAGGCCAGCCTGGACAACTTAGTGAGACTTTGTCTCAAATTTTTATTAAACCTATTAGGTGGGCTTGGCAATGCATGCTTGTAAATGCAGCACTCTGGGAGGCTGAAGCAGGAGAACTGCAAATTTGAGTCCAGCCAGGGCAAATAATGACTTAGTGAGAATCTGTCTCACAAGATAAAAAGGGGCTGGTGTTTTAGCTCTGAGGCACAGCGCCTGCCTGACAAGCAGAAGGTCCCGAGTTCCCTGGTACAATGAATAAATAAAAAGGGATGGGGTGTAGTTCAGTGTGAAGGCAGTGAGTTCAATCTCCAATGCCAAAAAACAAAGAAGCAAACAAATAAAGGATGGGGGATGTAGCTCAGTGTGAAGTCCCTGGGTTCAAGCCCAATACCGCTCCCCCAGGTGTTTATCTATGAATTCTGGGTTTCTTGTGTTTTAGATTCGGTAGCTTTTTTTTTTTTTTTTTTTTGGTACTGGTGATCCTTGCTCTGGCCAGGAAGACAGTGGAACAACTTGAGCTAAATCTCCGGCCCTGGTAGCTGACTTTTGAAAAGTCCTATTTCACACTCAGTATGAATTTAACTGATTTTGTTTGTTTAGTTTTTTTGTTTGTTTGTTTTTGAGACAGGTCTCACTATGTAGTCGAGACTGACCTGGAGCTCACTATGTAGCCCAGGCTGGTCTCGAACTCACAGCGATCCTCCTGCCTCAGACTCCTGAGTGCTGGGATTACAGGCGTGCGCCACCATGCCTGGCCGAATTCAATTGATTTTGAAACCTGTACAGTGCAGATCTGACAGCACAGGTAAATAATTATAAGCCCTTATAGAAAACATTAAAATATAAACATTTTTTGAAACAGGGTCTCTATGTAGCCCAGGCTGGCCTTGAACTTGTGACCCTCCTGCTTCAGCCACCCAAGTACTGGAATTACAGGGGTGCACAACTGCACCTGGCTAAAACGTACTTAAGGCGGCAAAATATTGTACATTTCAGTTTGGTGAAGCTTGGTAACCATTTCTATACCTCCTTAAAGCACATATGTCTAAACTTGTAGAACATTGCTAAGTGGAATATTATGCAGACAGTTAGAAGAATTAGGTATCCCTAACTGTGGAAAGGTTTCCCAGATTTTTATAAAGGGGGAGAAAGCTAGTATTGAGTAAAATATCTCGAGGGATATTATTCTAATTGGTTATCTTTGGGTAGTAGAACTAGAGCACCTTCCACTTTGCATGGATATTACTTGCGTATTTTTCTGGAGTATGAAATTGCTTTACTTTGGACTGGTTTGTTTGTTTATTTAGCTTTGTTTGAGACAGGATCTCACTTTGTACTTCAGGCTGCCTTTGAACTCACTATATAGCTCAGGCTGGCCTCCAACTCACAGTAATCTTCCTTTCCCAGCCTCCCAAGTGCTGTGATTACAGGAATGTGCCACCACTCCTGGCTCGGACTTGCTTATTTTTATAAATAAAAGAAAGCAATACAGATAATGTCAAGGGCTGAGGATGTAGCTCAGTGGTAGAGGGTATGCTTAGCATGAGTGAGGCCCTGGGTTCAAATTCCAGCACCATGTGCACACGCGCACACACACACACACACACACACACACAGAAAATATAACATTTAAGACACACTTACATTTTCTTCTTTTCCTCCTTCTCCTTCCTGGTACTAGGAATTGAACTCAGGCAGTGTTGAGCTACATTCCCAGCACTTTTGAGACAATTTGCCAGGCTGGCCTTGAACTTGTGATCCTCCTGCCTGAACTTCCCAAGTACAGTAGCTGGGGTGTAGTTCAGTAGTACAGCATGTATCTAGCATGGAAAAGCCCCTGGGTTTAACCCCTAGTAAAACAGGCACTTGCGTGCGCGTGTGCACACCCACACACCCACACACCCACACACCCACATGCACACACGCAGAGGCTCCAGAGTTATATAGAGCTGTGTTCCAAAACTGAATAGCATTAGTTGGACAGGTGGTGCACATCTATAATTTCAGCATTCTGGGAGGCTGAGACAAGAGGATCACAAGTTCAAAGCCAGCCTGGGCAACTTAGTTAGGGAGACCTTGTCTCAAAACAAACAATAAAAAAGAGCTGAGAGGGGCTGGGGATTTGGCTCAGTGGTGCAGCCGCTTGCCTCATAAGCGTAAAATCCTGAGTTTGGCCCCTGGTACCAAAATAAATAAATAAATAAATAAATAAATAAATAAATAAATAAATAGCTGAGGATGTAGCTCAGAATGCGAATGTCTTGGGTTCAATCCTCTGTACCACAAAAAGAAAACAGACACACACACCCCAATAACCAACCTCATTTACAAGCTGTGTAACCCTGGGCAAATAGCACAGCCTTCTGAGCCTCAGTTCCTTATGTGTAAAATGAGGATAATACTAGTGTCTAGGGCCGGGGATTTAGCTCAATGGTTTTGCCACCTGCCTCACAAGCACAAGGGCCTGAGTTCAATCCCTGGTACTAAAATAAAAAAAAAATTAAAAGTACTAGTGTCTGTCCCATAGGGCTGTTATGAGGATTCAAGGAGATACCACCCAACACCAAGACAAAGATTAATAAGACTGTGCCCTGGGCTTCCTGAGGGCCTACTAGAACCCGCGGGTCAGGGAGGGGCTAAACCTACTGCTGCAGGTGATCTCGGTGCCAGAGCACGAGTAGGAGTAGGTGTTGGTGTAGGGGTTGTCAATGAGGAATTTGCAGCTCTCCATCTTCTTGGCCGTGGAGTAGCACTGGTCGTGGGTCTGACAGCACCTGCAGAGGGAGAGAACAGCTGAGCAGGACCAGGGGCAGGGCGGCAGGGCGGCAGGGCGGCCCTTACCTGCTGTCTCCCAGAAACAGGCCTAGAAGTTCTAGGAGAAACGTTCCTATGGCTTGAGAACCTTAATCCCTCTCTTCACGTGTTTGTTGAAAGGGATTTTAACATGATTGTAGGAATGCAGTAAAATTATATATTCTCAAGACGAAGGCGCACTCTCTTTTGAGACAGGCCTTCTCCCTAGGTGGCTCAGGCTAGCTTTGAACTCATTATGTAACCCAGGCTGGGCTCGACCTCTCAGTCCTTTCTCTGCCTCCGAAGGGCTGGGATTAAAGGCGTGCGTCGCCACGCCCCTGCAAGATTTTTTTTTTTTTAATCGCGGGGATTGAATTGAGGTCCTTGGGCTTGCGAGGCAGGTGGAGGCACCACTGAGCTAAATCCCCGGCCCCAGGTACGCTTTTTTTGTGCCCGATACTTGAATTTTGGCTGTCACCGGGTGTATTGCTATAGTCTACCACTAGATAGCAGCATTGCCCACTATGTTACATCTCCGACGTTTCGATTTCCATTCTAAATAGTGTGGGACGCAGGATTGTCTTGGAGCACATTTCTTTATATGACAAGAGGCGAAAATATATTATCTTTGGCGAACTTGGGCATCCCTCTTCTGTGCCTTGTGTGATCTTTTGGGTGTGCCCTGTACCCACCCTATCTGGGTCTCCTTCCAGGTGGGTCTCTCACCTGTCCAATTCATCGACGGGGGTGCCTGAGCCCCCCAAGCCACAGAAGCAGCCGTAGTTGTTGTAGTCCTTGTAGGGCTCACTCCCCGGGATCGCGCACTTGATCATGTTTCGGAACTGCCACACAGCCCGGGTGCTGATCCTGTGAGCAGCAGCGCCCACTGCAAGAAAACAGAGTTCAGGTCTGTCTTTGGGTGGCTTTGCTGCGCCTGCAGGGGTCCACCACTTGCTCTAGGCTTCCCGGACCCCGCCAGGTGCCTCCTCAGAAAAGCGTTGGATGCTGAACCTAATACTGTGAATAAGGATCTTTTCTTTTGAATGAAAACATCAAAAACCATTCTTTTATTATTGTTGTTGTTGTTTTTATTTGAGACAGCGTTTTGCTGTGTAGTTCAGGCTGGTCTCAAACTCACTATGTAGCCCAGGCTGGCTGGCCTGGAACTCTTGGCAGTCCTCCTGCCTCAGCCTCCCGAGTGCTAGGATTACAGGTGTGGACCACCACACCTGACTGCTGATTCTTTATATTGAGATAAAATCCACATAAGATAAAAACTGACCATTTCTGGGCCGGGGATTTAGCTCGGTGGTTCCACCGCCTGCCTTGCAAGCGCAAGGACCCGAGTTCAATCCCCAGTACCAAAACAAAAACAACAACAAAACAAAACAGCTGACCATTTTTTTGTTTGTTTTGTTTTGTTTTTTTGAAATAGGGTCTCACTATGTAGTTGAGACTGACCTGGAACTCACTGTGTAGTCCAGGCTGATCGGAAACTCACAGCAATCCTCCTGCCTCAGCCTCCTGAGTTCTGGGATTACAGGCGTGCACCACCACACCCAGCTAAAACTGACCATTTAAGTAATTTAAAATGTATGATCTGAGATTGAACCTTTTTTTTTTTTTGAACCTTGTTATTGCTCAAACTTTCAAGAAATGCCCACTGCCCTTGGAATTAAACCCAAACTCCTTCTGACAGCCCCAAGGTCCGGCCTCTGCCATCTGTCCATTCGCATGTCACACCACCTCTTCCCCCCATTTCCCTGAAGCTGATCAGCCTGCAGTGCGCTCTCTGCAGCTCTCTCCCTCACACCTGCTATTTGCCCTGCCTGGAACATTTGTTATCTCACCTTTCAAAAGGCTGGAAAAATCTTGGCTTGCATGCTGTCACCTCACAGAGGCCCTTCCTGGTCACCCCAGCTAAGTGGATCCTTTGCCATCCCTGCTTTTTGCATCCCCTTCACAGGACTTCTCCTAATATGTACCCATCTATTTATTTATTTATTGGTACCTGGGATCAAGCTCAGGACTCTGCGCTTGTGAGACTGGCAGCAGAACCACTGAGTTAAATCCCTGCCCCGCCATCTCTTTATTTAAAGCCTGCCTTGTGCCAGGACATGAGCTCCTCAAGGACAGGCCTCCTGGCTTTTATTCCCCAGGGCCTGGCATTGTGCCTAAAACATTCCGGATACCGTATTGGTACCTGTATCTGGATCTACCCATATATGTGATGAGTTAAATGAATGAAACAACCATAAGTGAATTAGAGAAAGTTCCTGAAGCTGTGCATGGTGGCACACACTTGCAATCCCAGCACTCTAGGAGGCTGAGGCAAGAGGATCGAAAGTTTGAGCCCAGCCTGGGCAATTTAGCAAGACCCTGACTCAAAATAAAAAGGGGCTGCAGGTAGAGCGAAGGCCCTGGTTTCAACTTCTCGGTAACACACACACACACACACACACACACACACACACTCTCACACACACACTTGGCTTAAAATGTGCTCCACAAATTTTTGTTGAATGGATGTGAACAAATCTGGCACCTTGATGAAAGAATGTTTGCCCAAACCAAGTACAAAACTTAACACAGAAAATTCAAGGCAGTACAGCTTTTCACCCCCCAGAGCCCTACCCCGTGAGACTTGGAGCCCTAAAGAGGAGAGGGTACGTTTTTAGGGCCCTGTTTTATCGGACACCAGAGTGCCTGGTGCAAGTCTCATTGCCCTGTGAACGGGGCTGCATGTAGGAGAGAGGCAGAGCCTGTTTGGACAGAAGTGGCCGGACTGCCTAGTTCCCTGCTTTCTCTCCAGTCACACTCTGTCATTGCCAGCTGCAGTCTTTGCAGAAGCCAGGGCTACCCCAAGCCTCAGCTTGTGTGCATTGTGTGCGTGTGCACGTGTGTGTGCGCGCGTGTGCGTTCCCAAAGTGGAACATGGCTCGTTTATCTCCGATTCCTGGGTCTTGACCCAGGGCCTGGTACCTGAATTGACATCATTAGTAGATGAGTTGACATGGATTCGATTTGTGTGACTCGCTGTGCCCGGGCAGTGTGCAGTCCCATGGCTCTGTCTGCTCACGGAGCCCACACTTTTGGTGTGGGTGAGCCAGAAAGAAAGAAATGAATCGACATGACACTCGCAGGCAAAGGTAGGTTCTGGCCCATCACTGTGCCAGGTCGTGTGGCAGAGAAAGAAGCGGGGTTTTCTTAGCATGGGTGGGTGGACAGGGAAACCCTTTTTTAAAAGAGTCCAGATCTGGAGCCTGCAAGAGTGCCGGCTGCTGGGCACTTGGGGGATGAAGAGGGAGCCCTAACCAGGAGCTCTCAGGTCCCACACCAGCCCCAAATCAAGACTCCAGCCTTGGCTCCCCTGTATGCAGTGGCTGTGGCCCCATTCCGAAGGAGGGGGACATCTTGGCCATGCAGAGGGAAAGGAGGTGCTTACCTGTGAGCAGAGCAGCGAGCATAAGGACTTTCATCTTGAGAGGGGAACGGAGCTGAAGGGGCAGGTGGCCTCCTTTCTTATAGTTAGGGGCACCACACCTCCCAGATAAGGCTGTTTGCTCTCCTCTCAGCCCACTGTGGGTTGGCCTTGGTCCTGTTGTCTCATGGATTTACCTGCAAGGATTTCTGGAAACGATGTCCTGGATTTGTGGTCTACACTTTTTAAACAAAGAGATTATTCCTGGAGTTTGCAGATCTTGGAATCTTAATCCTCACCCCACCCCTTTGTACTCAGCCCAGCCTCGTGCTGGTTGGGGGCAGGAAATCCTCTGTCCTGCTGGATAACTGGCCGAAGGGGGCTGGGGAGGAGACACCTGCTGCCCCCCAATGATTGTCAAGTGGCTGGGTATCATTGAATAGTTTCATCAGTCATGCACCTCGCAGCTGAAGAGACAGGCTCAGAGAGGTCAAATAACTTTCCTCAGGTCTACAGCTAGCAAATGGCAAAGAAGGGGCTCCAGCTCAGGTCTGACTAATTCTAAGGCACACAAATTTTATTTTTCCCCCCACTATGCCAATGTCACTTTCTTCCCCTGCTCTTCCGTGTGAGCTTGTGAGAAATCCCGGGCTACGGAGTCCCAAAGCCTTGGGTCTGATCTGTAGAAAAAGAACTTAGTGTGACCCTATCTCAAAAAAAATTTTTTAAATAAATAAAAAATTAAAAAAGGAAGCTGGGAGGGCTGGGAATTCAGCTCAGTGGTTCTGCCACCTGCCTCACAAGTGCAAGGACCCAAGTTAAGAAAAAAAGGAAGCTGGGCATGGTGACATGTAATACCAGCCCTCAGAAGGCTGAGGCAGGAGGATCACCATGAGATCCTGCCTGGGGTACAAAGTGAGTTCAAGGCCAGCCTGAATTACATAGTAAAACCCTGTCTCAAAACAAATAAACAAGTAAACAATCAGACTAAAAATAGCTGGGGATGTAGCTTACTATGAAGGGCCTGGATTCTTTCCCCAGTATTGCAAAAAACAATTTTTTTTTTCAGAACTGTCATATGACATTTTTGGCGATAGTCACATAATATAAAAATAATCAGTTGTTTTTCTGCGATATGCAGGATTGAACCTAGGTCCCTTGCTGAGCTACATCCTCACTCCTTTTTATTTTTTATTATATAGGTACTAGGGATAGAACCCGGGTCCTTGTGCTTGTGAGGCAAGTGGTGGATTTATTTTTTCTATTTTGAGTTAGGGTCTAGCTAAGTTGCCCAGGCTGGGCTCAAACCTGTGGTCCTCCTGCCTCAGCCTCACAGAGTGCTGGGATTACAGGTGTGTGCCACCGTGTCCAGTTTAACATTAACCACTATAAGTGGACAATTCCGTGGACACTTGGTACATTTTCAGTGTTGTGCAATCACCACGTCCATCTAGTTCCAGGATATTTCCAGTGCCCCAAGAGGAAAGCTTGCACTGTTAGCGCTCACTTTTCCTGAGCCCCTGGCAACTGCTAATCCACTACAGTGGACCCTTGACTTAAAAATTCAATTAGTTCCTTAGGGCTGGTTGCAACTCAAGTTGGTTGTAAGGCAATACAGCTGAGATCTGGGTATATACTCTATAGACAACAAGAAGCAAATGAATCCTCTATTAATCTAATTAACCAAGCTGTTCATATGTCAGGCTGGTTGTAACTTCAAGGTCTACTGTATTTGCCTCTTCAGACCTCTCCACAGTGGATATTCACAGGCAGGTTGAGTATCCCGCTGTCTGTAGTCCTCCTGGCTCCCTGAACTCCTCCAGCTGTGGCAGTTTCTTAGGTTCCCCTTCTTTTTTTGGTACTGGGGACCGAACTTGGGACCTTGCACTTGCAAGGCAGGCAGCGGCACCAGTGAGCTAAATTCCTAGACCTCAGGTTCTCCTTCTTGATGACCTTGCTCGTTTGAGCAATACTGGTCAGGCACATTGAAGGATGTCCCTTACTGGACTCCGTCTGATGTTTTTCTCATAGTTAGACAACAGTTTCAGGTTTGGGAGAGGAAGAGAATGGTGGTAAAATGCTGTGTTGAGCACTTGCCTAAGTTTTACTTAATCATTTATTTTATTTTATTTTTTTACTTAATCATTTCTTTTGCATGGAGGGCATCTGGCCACCTTGCTGGTCTAAGCATGGGGTACGGATGTGAATGGGCTCACTGGGGTCTGAGCCTACATCCTCATCTGCCCATGGAACCTGCTCCACCTGGGATAAAGTCACGAGTAGCACAGAAGCAGCGGGTCCAAGTGTAACTCTGTGACCTCTATTCATGCAGGGTTCCCACTTTGTTTTGTTTTTGCACAGGGGATTGAAGCCAGGGCCTTCATATCAAGTTGTATCCTCAGCTCTTCTTGTTTTGAAATGGAGTCTCTCTATGTTGCCCAGGTGAGACCCTCCTGCCTCAGTTTCCCACAGTACTGAGATTATAGTGTACACCACCGCACCAGCTCTTTGTACTTGTCCCACAAAGCTGCATGTGGATCGAGAAAGAAGAAATCCAATGGGAAGAGCTTCCCTTTTTCATCCCAAATTCAGGATCCTCAGAAAAGATTCTCTAAACTGGGCATGGTGGTGCACACCTGTGACCCAGCACTCAGAGGCTGAGAGGAGTGCAAGTTCAAGGCCAGCCCCGACAATTAGCAAGACCTAATTTTAAAAAGGGCTGAGGCTGTAGTTTAGGGGGAAGGCCCTGGGTTTGATCCCCAGTACTACAACAACAACAACAACAACAAAGCGGAAACTGAGGCCCAGAGAAAGGAAGTAGTTTACTTGCCTGAGCCTGATGCTGCCTCCACTTTACCTGGGTTTGTTTCATGCTCTCTTCATACTTGCCTGAGACTGCCACACCTGTGCTGTCCAGTGGGGCACCCGTGTACCATATACCACCCTTATATCCATTAAAACGAAGAAGCGTTAATGACTGAGTTTCTCAGCCACGCCAGCCATGTTCCCAGGGCTCAGCGCTCACGTGACCAGTGGCTGCCGCACAGGTGCAGATGTAGGATGTTTCCGTCATCACAGGAGGTTGCTCACAGCTGGCCCAGGGCTGGCCAGAGTCAGGTGGGACACTGGCATAGCCCAGGACCCCAAACACATGGACAACAACAACAAAAATTTTTTTTCAGTACTGGGGATTGAACCCAGGGCTTTTGCACTGAGCTACATAGCTACATCCCAGTTTTTGTTTTGCTTTGTTTTTTTAGACAGGGTCTTGCTAACTTGCTAAATTGCCCAGGCTGGGCTCAACACCCTCCCAGAGTGCTGGCATTACAGGCATGCACCACTGTACAAGGTGCCAAGTCCCTCTTGTGTGGGTATTTGAACAAGTCAGAGAAATAGGCACTGCTCCTAGATTTAGGCCAGGAAGGTGCTAAGTGCTGACTAAAAGTGGTCCGAGGGAAGAGTAGCTGGTGCTACAAAGGCTCAAAAGTATGAACTGCCATTCACCAAGTGCTGACTCTGTACCAGCGTGCATTGCTAAGAACCTGGCACAAACCTTGGAGGGAGCATTCACAGACTCCATCTTCCAGAAGGTGATGGAGGCTGAGAGAGGGTGAGCAGCTGCCTCCGCATCACACAGCAGGACCAGAGTGTGAGCTGGATCGGGTACATATGACAGCACGAGAACACCTCAGGACAGGGACTGCCAAGGATGCCACAGGAAGGGCCCAGCAAAGGCAGCCTACACAAACTGTCACCCGCTGGAGCTACGGTGGGAGGATGGCCGCTACTGCAGCGCTCTCCCCGGCCCCCACCGAGGTGGGAGAAGTGCCTGCGTCTGTGTACCTTGACCTCCTGTTGAGATCTATGCACAGGTGTGTGAAGCACAGCCTCTCCCAGCCTGGGGAACACACAATCTCAGTGGAAAGAACAGCTAACAATAGCTACTTGACTCGCTCAGGTGAGGCATACCCACACTCCCGCAAGGTCACATCGGCTGGAAAGGACTTAGAAGCTGCTACTGGCTGCCATCTGCTGAATGTTTCTATAGGCCTGAGGCTGCAAGGCACTGAGCTGTAGGGCACCGTCTCTCAGCCTAAAGGCACATCTTCAGACAGAGTCTAATTCTGCCATGTTGTCTTCATCTCCTCTGGATAAGACAGGTTCCGAGAGGTCAAGGGATTTGCTCAACGTCACACAGCTGGGAAGTGGTGGACACAGGATTGAAACCTACGGCTCCTCGCTTCTTAGTCTGGAGATCTCTTCAGTGTAACAATAACAGTATCGATAAACCAGGTGTGGTAGCACACAGTTGTAATCCCTGCACTCAAGACATGGAGGCAGAAGGATCTCAAGTTTGAGCCCAGCCTGGGCAATTTAGTGACTTAGTGAAACCCAATTTCAAAATAAAAAATGAAAAGGAGCCAGGAATACAGCTCAGTGAGGAGGCCCTGGGTTTAATCCCCAGTACTGGAAGAAAAATCTATTGGATTGGACTTCCGAGATGTTATTTATTTTTGTAGTGCTGGGGATCAAGCTTTGGGTATATGCCAGACAAATGCTTCTGCAGCTGAACTCCACCTCCAGCCCATGGCATCACTAATGACATTTATAGTATTAAGGTCTGGAACTTGGGGTCGGGGGTGTGGCAGTAACAGGAGGGCTGCTTGTGTAAAGCCTTGGGTTCGATTCCAAGCAGTGTTTACCACATTTTTAAAAAATCACATCTTATAAAGACATTCATGAAAGAGGACTTCCAGAGCTGCTTCAGAAAGTGGCAAGATGGGTCAGGGATTTAGCTCAGTGGTTCACACTGCCTGCCCTGCAAGCACAAGGACCTGAGTTCGATCCCCGGTACCAAAAAAAAAAATCAGATAAAAAAGGGTGGGGTGGGGATGAAGTCAGTGTGTGAAGCTGGGGGTTCAATCCTTAGGTGGGAGGGAAGGAAAGGAGAGAAATTGAGACAGAATTCTTTTTTTTTCCTTTGGTACCAGGGATCAAACTTGGGTCTTTGTGCGTGCAAGGCAGGCGGTAAACCAACTGAGCTAAATCCCTGGCCTGAGAGACAGAATTTTTTATAGGCCTTGTTAAAATAACTTGTTATAGGGCCGGGCATTTAGCTCAGTGTCACTCTCTGCACCTGCCTTGCAAATGCAAGGTCCTGAGTCTGATCCTTGGTACCAGAAAGAAAAAGAAAAGAGGAAAAAAAAAAAAACCTCTGTTAAGCCTCCTCACATGATTTAGTACTCTGTCCAATCAGCACAGTATATAAGTAACGATCTCCACCTTTCTTTGGGGTTTGGGACATTCATTTCTTGTGAGGGAGACTTTTCTTTTTCCCTTTTTATTTTCATTGCTAGGAACCAAACCCAGGGCCTCACACAGGCAGGCAAGCATCTTACCACTAGGATACGTTCCCAGCCTGGGTCTTCGTTTCTTTGTGAAGACACCCAAGCCATATGAAACCTGTCTTAAATCAGTGGGCATGCTTTTCTCCTGTTAATCTATTTGAAGTCAATTTAATTTGGGACCCAGTTGGGATCCTAAGATGATGGAGGTAGAATTCTGCCACCCCTATTGCAGAAAAATGAGGTGCCCCAGGGGGACCTCTATGTGAATACACACAGAGACACAAGAGGCAAACTCAGCACCGTTTTCAAATAATTTATTAGGAATTTAAAACTGAAAATAAAGCCTGGAAAAAGAGGTTACAGATGTGGAGAGAAGAGACACCGGAGGGTGGTAACTTGCTGGCTTCAAAACACCGTGTAACATCTTTTTAAAAAAAATTCTCCAAACAAATCAGAAAACGGAATTCTAGGGCCCTGAGTCCATGAAGAGAGTCCACGGGCCCGGGGATGGGAGGAAGAGGGAAGCTAAGTCTCTTGGGACCCAGCTCAGATGTGTAGAAAATTAAAAATAAAAACCAATAAAATGCAGCTTCTCTTTTATTAGGAAACATTAAAAAAAGAAAAAGAAAAAAAAAACAAAACAGCCGCGCATCTCAGTAACAAAGATTATTGCTTTGTGTTCTCAGGGCTAATAGGTTAAGCACCTCACACAGACAATTAACTCTCCAAAGGGTGGTTTGAAGGGTGGAGAAAGGAACTTAGGCCCCCAGCCTCAGACCTGGGGGAGGACACGGAATGGGGGTGACAGTGAGTGCGCCTCAGCCCTGCCCAGGTCGGGCTCCATATTCAGACCCTGAGCCTCTCCTTTTCCTTTGAAGGGGGCTCTGGATTAAGGGGCTGCCAAGGGGCTCTGGCCACCGGGCCATCCTGGTGGGAAACTTCAGTGAGAATGTGGGGGTTCCCTGAGAAGCCCTTTGCTTTCCCGTGGCGTCTGCTCCTTACCAAAGTGCCCCCCATCTCCACTTGTGGGGGTGAGGGTTGGGGGGGGCTCGGAGCAGAAAACCATGAAGGTCCAACCTAGGCAGGGGACAGGGGAGACCTTTGGAGAGCTAATTCCTTTCCAGCAGTGGCTCTGGGAAAGCCCTTCTCTTCCCTCGACCCTCACCCCCACATTGGGTTTTCCAGGAGAGCAGGCCTGAGGACTTGACCCTGGGGGCCTGAGAGAGGAGGCCTGCTGTGGCCAGAGCCAAGGCCTGCGAGCTTACAGTAACTTACAGTAACGGTGTCTGAGGAGGGGACAGAAACGGGATGAGGAGACCTTTGCCTTGTGGGTGCGGTGATGCCCCCACCCCCAAGGGGTCTTAGAGAGGGGTGGGGGCTTCACCTCACAGTATTTACATATGATACAGGACGGGATGTTCCAGGGGCTCGGCCTGGCCTACCCGCAGCCCTGCCCTCCTCTCCAGGGCTGGAGGGAGGCAGCCAGGGGCCCACACCGCATAGACACTTCGTTCTCAGCTGGTGGGGGGCACCTGGCCCCTTGCCCCCTGCGGCCTGGGGCTTCACATTCACAAACCTAGAAATAGTTTAAAAAACGGTTTCTTTAAAAAAAAAAAAAAAAAAA